GTCAAAAGTTAGTCCCTAATAAAGTCATTGTGACTTTAATGATTTCGGCAGTTGTTTCTCACTGCAAAAACAGGAAGATCCCACACAATGAGGCGCCTGCCTCACAGCTGGGCTCCTACGTAGACGGGCCACCCACAGGAGTCACCACCAGGCTGTCTTCCTCTCTTTGGCACCTTCTTCCCGGTCCTTACAGTCTTCTCCTCCCGACTTCAAGAGGTTATCAATGAGAGGGCACTGCCTGCCGTGTTAGCTAGTCTAGGATAGGCTGCGTCTGATCACTTTGGATTCGCCCTGGCTCTTCTGTGGGTTTGATACTGGACCCTTATATTATCTGCCCCCCCCCCACCAACTGCTTAGTCCATAGAAATACAAAAGCACCAAATTCCAGATTTGTAAAGATCCGTGCCTAATTATCAGGACAAGCGCAGCTTCTCTGTGGATCTTCCTACAGCCTTTAACTAGTGCTCTGAAGAGAAGCCTAGAAAGTTATACTGTTCTGACCCTTCAGAGAAATTGGCTCAGGAGCCACAAATTTCCATGGACAGCCTGAAACTAAAGAAAAAACGGAGCATCAAATAGGGTGGTCCTGCCAAGTGTAACTGATTTTCAGCTTACTGTATCTGTTCAGTCATTTCTGACTTGTAAAGGAAGCCTATTTAAAACATCACAGATGACTTTGTAGAAGAGACATATTACAGGTAAATAGTATTCAGTCACTTATAAGAGAAAACGGTACTTTCATCCTTTTGCAAAAACTAAATGTACTTTTTTCAAGCAGCATTTGTAAGTCCAGCACGGGAGGTTTTGGGAGGCACTGGTGGGATTTGGGTCATAAGGGTTCATTCATAAACCTTGCTCATCTGTTTTGAAAAGGAGCTCTGGCTGTGCCTCCGGGACATCGTTTCTAGGTAAGCTCTAACAGGGTTTTCTTGTGAAGACAGATTCTTAAAGAAAAGTAAGATCTGTGTACATCAGACGCTGGAGACCCATTTATTTTTGAAATAGTGAGCTTTTGTTTGTGGCTTTCCTGACTGCATCTGATGGAATAAATATTGTCCAGTCTCTTTCCGTCTCATAACTCTTTGGAACACAGTTTAATCAGGACCTGTCGTAACGTCCTATCTGGACTAAACCCCCTTAACTTGATAAATAGACAAGGAGCCTCCCAAAGTCTCAGACTGTAAAATCCTTCACACTAACCCCTTTCTTCCTTTGCTGGTGACTTATTCCTACCGACAGAAGCATTTCTGACACTGCTCTTTTTCTCAGTACTCTAGAGGTAGGTTTTATTTTCGGAGAAGTATTGGTTACTGGTAAATAATTTCCCCAAACTGGAGGAAGCTGACACAAAGCTTATCATAGAATCATGAAAGGTTAGGGCTGAGAGGCTGAGGCTCTGAGATCATGAGTCACCTTCACTTCTATCACACAGAAGAGGTAAGGTGACCTCACAAGGCCCTCCGAGAAATGGGATGAAAGTTGTGGTTGGTCCATGGTCTCAGAGCTGCTTCTGACTCTCCACGAAAGACCCCATATGGCAGTCAGATGCCACCAGCCCAGGGCTGCATAGCTGGCTCCCCAGCCTTAGCCTCAAACATATGTGGCATGGGTCCCGTTCTTTGATGTGTCTGCTCCCACAGGCCAGCCCTAATGGCTCTGATGGGATGCTACCCCACTCGGAATGTGAAGACACTCCCCGTCTGGGCCACGTCTCCCCCCTCCCCCTATTTTGTACAGAGTCCAACGTGAGTGGGCCCTTCAGAAGTGTTTTTTGATGAGAGCAATGCTTGCCTTAGTCAGTGTGGTTACAAACAGGAGGAAAACCAACAGTTGTTGCTAGGCAACATGGAAAAGGCCGGGTTGGTTGCTGACATTGAGTGACCTCTGTTTGCGTACTTGATCATGCTGGGTGTCCTAGGGTTGTCTGAAGATGACTTTGTTTTCTGGTGGCAATGCCAGGCCCTTGGCAAAAGGGTCCTAGGGAGAATTTGTTTAAGCGTGGGAGTAAGGAAGTAAGGAAGATGGTGTTTACTGGTTAACTACTTAACAGGAGAGCGACCCCATCTGGAGAAGAGAGGAGAGGAGAGTGGTCTGACCCTGCAGCCTCTGTCTCCATGCTGGGACTGTTTGACATCTCTCATTGGGTCCTCCCACAGTAGGAACCCTAGAATGAAAAGAAAGAGGAAATTACTGCTTCTTCTACTCTGGTTCAATTTCTACCTGTCCCTGGCTTCTCTGCTTAAACTCTGATATGGCTGACAGAACTGTCCCCACCCCTGCCAACTGGAAACTATTGTAGTTTAAGGCACTCCTGTGCCTTAAAAGGTTTGTGTCTGCTAGAATGACAGCTGTTTTAGTGCAAAGAGTTTTGTTGGCTCATTTATGGTCTAAATGCTGTGTCTCCATTGTTTGGCCTGCCCATTTTAGGCATTCAACAAATGTCTGTTGAATACATGATAAATGTCACTATCACAATGGTACAAAAGTGACTCCAAAATACCCCTAAGAATTTCAGTGATAATGAAAGAAAGAGAATGAGAAAAGGAATTGTTTGATTATCTTTGGCTAAGACTGGTGCACACAGAAAAAAATTACAGGACAAATCATCTATCTTTATGCTTAATATGGGATTTTTTTCCAGTGGTCCAAGAGAAGCTTTGTGTCTTTGCTAAAATTCAGCAGATAGTCAGAGCATATAAACCTACTTTTCTGTTCTGAGTCTTCAGTGAAAGTGAGGCGGAAAGGTGGTTGGAATAAAGCATTTTGATTGTAAAGAAAATGATTAGCATGAGATTTGGCAAGAGGCTCAATGGCACAGATGTGCGGTGAGTAACCCTGGCTGACATGATTGACAGAGATGCCTGGCTGTGGGAAAACACACATGTACATGAGTGGGGTTCCCTAGAAAGAAGGCAATGGGGCCTTTGTGAGGACCATGCAGAATACAGGGAGTCCACAAACAGCAGTGCTGGTTTGCATTGGCTTTGCCTGGAAAGACCAGGTTTCTGGGTGCAGGAGGTGGACAGCCCAGGGCTGGGATACCCGGATGGATGCGGGATGCCCATTGGAAAGGGACGCCTCAGGAAAGTCAGCCAATCCCATGTGAAGGCCCTTCTGTTCCCAGGCAGTGCTGGGGGAGTAGAGGGGAGGGAGCGGTGAGCCAGGCAGGGAATCCCACTGCAGGGGCATTCACAGATTGTCTTTTTTGCCGGAGCTGCAGTGCTGGTGAGGAGAAAAGAGCAACAGCTGCAGGAAAGGAGTGACCTTCTCAGCCTGTGCTAGGTTGTGAGAGTGAAATAAAACCAGATTTAACTCCTGAATACTTCTCACATGAAGGAGAGATACAACACTAAAATACCACCTGGACACTGCCGCCCATAACCCACCACAGCATTCACCGTTCATTCAGCACCTTGTGTTTTCTGACACAAGATCCCAAGCTTAAATGAGTTTGATCCATTTGTCCAGTGCAGCCTTAATGTGCATATTCATGAGTTAATGCATATTAGGAGCACAGCAAATTGCACACCGCCAATGAGCTGCTTTATGAAACATTAACCCCACCCGCATCCATTCCATTGTAAAAGAAGGCTAAATATGGTGGGCAAATAACCCTCCCAGAAAGCCACTGTTAAAATAAAAATGTACTGGAAGCCTCCCTCTCCTGAAAACAGCTTCAGTGCTAACCTTTGTCACTTTTTAAAAAAACGTCCACAAAGGGAACTGATCCGAAGCACCCTCACTCTGACAGAATTGCAGTGGTTGGGCAGTCCATGCATCTGCAGAGACCAAGCCTGCAGGGAGGGAGAGGGTTAACAAGTACCTGCCGGGAGGGGGAAGGGCAGCACTTCAAATTTCCTTAAATATTCATGGGGCTTCCTCCATCTCAGTCTTCTCCTTTTTAAAAGATGGCTGTGTTTCCCCTGCTGGACGCAGCATTGCTGCTCTCTGCAGAGGCTGGCGGAGTAGGACTAACCTGGGCAGGAAGCCCGGGGGGCCACTAGGGCTGTTCATCATTGGTGAGAGCTTGGAGGCAGCGGCTGGGCGCATTTGGAAGGCTCAGCGCTCCTCCTGCACAACCTGATCTCATATCTCACTCTCCTGCTCTGCCAGGAGACCAGCGGAGCTCAGGCTGCTGGCTGCATGGAGGGAGCGCGACGAAGCCTTTGTTTCCATTAGGAAATGCCATCGATTATGGAGGCTTTATCTTTGCTAAGTCTTGGTTATTTCACCACTGAATCTGCCGGGCTTCCCTGACTATTTTGGGATCCCTCTCTCCAAACTGAATTCTTTCAAAGGAATTTGTGGATTGTGGCTGAGAAAGCCTCCAAAATGCCCGAGGCAAACTATTTGTTATCTGTCTCTTGGGGTTACATCAAGGTGGGTGCCTTTGATTGCGTTCTGTGTGTGTCTGATGGCATGTGAGCTTTATTTTCTGTGAAGTGGGAGACATGGATAATGATTTAATTTGTGCGTTCCTTTAGCTCTCTGGGGTTCTTATTGCGAATAAAAGCATGCTGTATTCCATTGTATTAAAGTGTCCTGGGAAGGGTTTGAATCCTGTTCTCATGCAACTCATGGTTTTTTAAAGGATGACTTTTTTTTTTCCTTTTTCCTTTAACTTTTCACTGCATCACTGTCACTGAAAAGCTTATCAATCCAAATTGAAGTTCAAAGTCAAGGACCAATAACTGTGTTTTTGCAATAGCTACATTTTTCAAGTAAAATGATTCTTAAATTCCTTTTCCTGTCTTTGCATCTTCAAAAGAAATCAAGTGTCAATTCTAAAGAAGTTTAAGGAAATGTTTCATCAAATGATGTTGGAATAGCATCAAATTAAGGGCATGGTATGTTCTGTGGCACCCATATCATCTATCTGATGCTATCTGCTTCTCCAATCTCCTGATTCCTAGAAAGTAAAGTTGGAAGCATCAAAAGAGATCATTTTTTCTGTTTTTAAAGATGGCTAATTCTTTTTTTTTTTTTTTTTCCATAAACAGTTCAAAAGAATGCTGAACCGGGAGCTGACACATCTCTCAGAGATGAGCCGGTCTGGGAACCAGGTGTCTGAATACATTTCGAATACTTTCTTAGGTAAGATATTAACTGGGCAAAAGCTATCAAATATCTGAGCTTTTTCAAGGTGAAATTCCTGGACACCTTGAAGGGCATCCCACATGAGTTTGGGCCATAGCAAGGCACAGCTATTTAAAATAAGAACTGAAAGTAATCTTTGAGAGAAAAAGCAAGCAGTAAGATGATGTTTTAGAAACCTATTCAAGGCAGAAGGTTATTATGGGCTAGTTGTATTTATATGACCAGAGGTACTTCACCCACTGCCTTCTCCACCAAGACCTCCAAAACAGTGGGACAGAGCCAGCCACCCCAGGGCTCCTAGCTCCTGTGGCATATTATTTCAGTCTTCCAGTGACCGGGCTTTAGGGAAAAGGTTTCCTGTGGGATATTCTGTAAGAAATATACTAGAGCACCGATGCTAAGGTGACTCCATGAGAATAAGCTTTGGTAGTCATTTACCGATGGCTTTGCTAAGTTATTTCTTAAAGATAAATAGTGGGGGAAGGGAGAATTTTCATGTCTTTAAAAGGTTTGGTCTTCACTAAGCAAAATTATTGTCTTCCGAGTCTAACTAGTTGTATCCTCTGTGCTCACATTGCTAATTCTTAACCCAGGACCCTGAACCAAAGGTTTGCTTGAAGGATCCTCTGCCACTGTCATGAATCTTGCTTGACTCTTAGGGATTTCTAATCTCAGGTTTAAAGGCAACTTGACTGTGTAATGTAATGAACCAAGTGGGACACCTTTAATTGAATAAGACCTAGAGAACCTGCACCTCGGTACTTCCGTGTGGATGAGCAGCATTTAGGTTCCAATTCTGTGAACTGCTAAATTATGCCTGTTTATAAAATTTCACTTTCCAAGGAAATGACCCATTCTTACAGCGGAGACTCACACCCTCTTGTCTTGGCATAGCCCCATATCCTTAAATCAATGGCGTTTGCCTTGACGCGGGGGAAGCACACACCTCTTCTGGTTTGATTCTGAAGAATCAATCCTGTTTCTCCAACACCAAAGTAGTTCCTGCTATCAGCAGATCAATCAGCAAGCTCGCTGTGCAGCCTGGCACGAAGCTCCTGGCGTCCCTAGGCCACCCGCGGTCTCTGACCAGGATCATGGGTGCTTCCCTAATTGATTCTGTAGTCAGCTCAGCACTGCGGTGCCTGCTTTTCCCCAGCTGCAGTTGCAGCAGCCTTTGTCAGAGAACAAAGAAGAGGAGTTTTTCTTGCATCCTATGTCCCAGAAGTGGCTGGCGTCTAGCGGAACAGAAAATGTTCAGCAATGGTCCTTTTCTTCTCCGTACTCCCCCCTCCTTTGTTCCTTTGAGTATAGGAATCTTCCAGGAAGCATTTCACAAGCTGGGGGCTGTCTTAAGAATGTGTGCAGGTTATTGACAACAGTAGAGAAGGATAAAGTCAGTGAGTGCAAAAATTCATTTTGTTTCATTAGAGGTTACATTCTAAAATACCAGTATTTGTCTCTACAGAAGAGCCTGGAAGTCTCTAGGTCCTTCCCTAAGCAACCAGGACCTCGCGTTTGCAGTCTCTTCCGATACCCACTTACCAGAGACAACAAGGGTGCCTTAGTGTTCTAATTAATCTTGGTTGTCCACAGTGGCTATCAAGGAGGAAAGCTGATAAGATAATATAGACTTGCAATCTCCACAGACAGATGTCTACACTTGAGTATTCTGCTTGCAACTAAGGCACCTATCTTAAAGAAGACCCATTCTTTGGCTTCTTCTTCTTATTCTGAAGATTAGATTATGTAGAACAAATTGTTGAGAAAGGCTACTGGAATCCCAGTTCTTGTGCACTCTTGGCATTTGGAGCATGGTGTGCACTTGCGTGTGTGTGTGTGTGTGTGTGTGTGTGTGTGTGTGTGTGTGCTGGAATATATGTGGTAAACCTCACCACATGTGAGAATTTTTTAACTTCTTACACAGATATGGAAAGGAAAACAGCTGTGTAAGAGATCTCCCATTTTACAGATGAAGCAACTGGTGATGTGTTTGTGTTTGGAGTCTAAGATTCTGACGTGCGCCCAGTTTTTAACTTGACTAACACATGCTTGGCAGCCTGGACCCTCTGGGGTGAGCCTCAGGCTTGCAATTTGATAATCTTAATAAACAATTGAATAAATATACATTTTCAAATGGCAGGAATTGGAACTCTTGGCTCTATCTTATGAGCTGCTGAGGCTCTCGGAGGACTGTCCAGGCTTCTATAGGAACTGTCAGATCTCAGAAGGACCATGCTGTCCTCAGGGTGTAAACTCCTCCCATTAAAGGAAAGAAAATTGAGGGCTTGGAGAAGAAAGTAATTGACCGAGGTCACTTGGCCAGTGCATTTCTGAGCTACCGCTAGGACTTAAGTTTCTTGATGTCCAGACTTAGAAACCCTGCCACTTCTAAAGGGGTTCAGAATATATGGAAGAAAATCGTATTTAAAGGCATTTAAGTAATATGCACATCATTTGGCGGGAGGAGAAAAAGGTCTTTAGGCATCAAGAGTGTTGAGTCTAAAATATAAAATACTGATGAACAGTTTCTAGGAACAGGAAAGACTTGGGTCAACCATCCTAGTCAGCAGTTTAAATCAAGATGCTGACCTTAGAGTTTAAGATAAGCGTAAAAGCAGTATTTCAGTAAATCACTGCGGGTTAAAGTGTGTCACCCAGGGAGGAAGGAAATCCCTTAATCCAGGGATCTCTGAAGCTTGTGTTGTTCCCACCTAAAGAGATGGGGTCCAGGTGGCCAGGTGGAAAGGCAGGCATAGACTGCAGACCCATCTGGGCACTTGACAGGTACCGTGGATAGGATGGTGGCTTCCAGGTGGCCGACATGAAAATAAATCAGAGTGTGTAACAGCAGGGTCATAGAGAAAGATGTAATTGGAAAGGACATTTAAAATTTTTTTTACATGCTATATTGCAATTTCAGTAGTATTTTTACAGACAGAAAAAGAAAAGCACCTGAAAATCTGGAACAGGATTTCCAAGATGTGAGGAAAAGGTTTTGGGAATGTTCCCTTTGACAAGATGCTGGACCTAGCAAGGAGAACAGCACCCTAAGGCATGCCTGAGCAGGGGCCGCCTGTGACTTGCGTTTTGCTGTCTGTGCTGGTTTGCTGTGCACTGGCCCACTGCTCCCGCTGCGTTCTGATGATCCTGTCAGTGTAAATTTGCTAAGGGTTCCTTGTGACTTTGAGCCTGTCGCAGGCCACTTCGTCAGTGTGCTGGCTGAGCGTTTAACAGAGGAAATTCAGAACCTGGAAGCCTACCAGCCACCGTCCAGGGCTTGCACAGGGAGATACAGTCCTGTGTCTGTGAACTGAACTCCAAGCTCAACAATGCATTGAGCTTTAATTAAATGAAGGGGGGAAGCCAGGAGCCCCTTAAAAGATGAGTCTCCCCACAGAGGCACAGGGGCGCCTGACCGTTGCCTCTTTAGCCAGATGTGAGCCGCCGTGATCGGGAAAGGCAGGAAAGAGACTTCTAAGGAAACCCTCAAGGCCCAGATTCTGCGCATTACATCACTGCCTGGAACAAAATAATTGCGAAAGAAATATTTGTTAAATACACTGCCTTTTGAACTTGAGCAAGTTGCTGACTTCATCTGAAAATGAGAGAATGGAATTAGCACTGGTTCCTTGTCCTGGTTGTCATCATCCGAATCTCAGGGGAATCTTTGTAAATTTTCCTACTCAGAGGGGCAGAGCAGGTGGGGCCCACAAAGCTGTAGTTTTTAAAGTTTTCCTGGGTACTTCTGGCACAGGATTAGGCCAGAAACCCCTAAAGGGGCTGAGATGATTAAAATTCCTCCTTCTGCTGAAGGCTGGTGGGCACGGAAAGACCATAGAGGGGTAAGAGAGATGAGGACAGCCCTGCCGCAGCCCTGAAGCCAGGTGACAAGGTGCATGGGGAGGGGCATGGCTTGCTGTGGTGAATCCCCACAGGAGCTGTGCAGGCAGAGGACCCGGGGGCCGCACATGACCGAGGCATGGTCTCATCCTCTCCTTCTGAACATGTCATCTGGAAGCATGTCATTTCTAATGGAGAAGTTATTTCTAGACTGATTGTCCCTGCAATAAGCGGAGATAGATGTGGGTGCTTTTGAGAGAGGGACCTCAACTCTGCATCTACGGGGCGTCATTTAGTCTTGCGGGGGGGTTGGGGGTTCCTCTGGAGGTCTCAGAGCCATCTATCTCCCTGGGAAGTGAGACAGGGCGGGCATGCTTCTCACAGCCCCATGTAAAGGAAAGTGCTTCCACTAGCACAAAGACACTCTCACTGCTGTTACCTCTGTGGCTACTTTGTTGTAACAAATTTTTAAAAATATTAAGTGAGATGTATATTTAATGAGCATAAATATGTTAGTAAATGTAATTCCTATTATAACTCAGAGGCCTTATTGTTAAAAGGGGAGTTAATAGACATGAAGCCTAAACTAAAACTGAAAGTATCGTCTTTCTCTAAACTCCAAATGGCAACAAACTGAGGTTTTAGTGTACTTATCTGAAAATTATATGAGCCATTTATTTTTCCCATTTAAACCAAACCCAGCTAAAGTCATACGAGTTTTTAAAATTAGAAAAAAAGATGTAAAACATAATAAAATGAGCCGAACATGAAGTTTATTGCTATTAACCCCGGGTTAACTGGCTGACGAATATTTTTTTGTTATATAAGCATATAAATTATTCGCTTTAGTAAAAGCATTATGTGGAAGTGTTGATTTCCATTTTGGGTACTGGGGATCCAACTCACGACCTTGTGCCTGCCAGGCAGACACTTGTGCCACTGAGCTAAATCCCTGGCCCTTAGATTTCCATTTTGAACATAGTTTTCCTGACTAATGTCAAGAAAAGAGTGTTGGGCTTGGATCTTGACTTTGCCCACCTTGGACAAGTTTCTAGCCTCTTTCAGCCTTCAGTATACTTAGTGATCGTAAGTACTGTTTCCCCTGTCTACTTGCAACATTGCCCCAGAGATGCAGAGAGGTCATGCCACGAGGGTCTTTTACAAGATCAAACACCCACTGCACAGGGTAGGGCTGTTTGGGACATTAGGTGAACACTCGTCGTCACATCTGTGCTGAAAACGCACCCCTTTGTGTGTTGCAGACAAGCAGAACGATGTGGAGATCCCCTCCCCGACCCAGAAAGACAGAGAGAAAAAGAAGAAGCAGCAGCTGATGACGCAGATTAGTGGGGTGAAGAAGCTGATGCACAGCTCAAGCCTCAACAACACGAGCATCTCCCGCTTCGGGGTCAACACAGAAAACGAAGATCACCTGGCCAAGGTTTGTGGGAGCCGGGGTCCTGTGCCCGGTGTGCCACGCAACACACCTACACCTGCTGACCACAGCACAGCAGCGGGGGCCCTTAGCTTTGTCCTTAAATTTGATGATACAGAACCTGACAGAGCTTCTTTGTCCATGCTGAGGCTTCTGGCTGAAGATCCTTCTTCCCTATCAAATAGACCCTTTTATGTCCTGAATTGGCAGCTCCAATTTTACCCTGGGGACATTTTGGGGACCATCTACCAAGGGCCAGCAGGAAGATTTGCAGAGACTGAGAGGGCTGGAGAAGGCACAAAGAGACAGAGATGACACGGTCTCCTGAGCCTAAAACCCAGGAATAGGGGAAGTCACGGAGCCACCGTCCAGGTTCTTGAATGGTGTACATGGTGCCTTTTGAGGCCCCTGCAGCCTGGCCAGAGGAGGGAGGGCTTAGCACTGACTATGTGACCCTTCAGGGAAACCTTCCAAAAGCTGCCAGTAGCTCAAGGTTGATTCAACTGTGGGCCAAGCCTCTGGCCCTTACTAACTTATGCCTTCCATCAGAAAATCTCAGAAAAATCCCATAGCACAAGCCTGAATGATTCTTCTTCCAGGTCTGACTGTGGCCCAGGAACCCTAGGGTATAACTCATGACTGGCATGCTTCATGGCCTTTCACATGACATCAGGGTTCATTTCTGCACGGGGTAGCACCCAAACTCCTCTGACCTGACTTCAGTATTAGTAACCAAAGGGCAGAGGGCTTCCTCTGACTCTGTTTTCTAGCTGTCACTGTTGGGCAAGGAGCATCAAGGAGAGAGGCAGGGAAGTGAAGCCAGGCTGCCCTCTGGTCCTTAAGTGGCCACGTTGGAAAGCAACCCTGACTGATGCTGATGCTGATGCATAGCAAATGTAGGTCAGCGACTCAGCTTATAAATAGATGCGCAGTTTCCCTTTTCTGAAAAGAGAGAAAGATACACAAAAACACGCAGTTATCCCGAAGAGTCTTTCCCTCGGTCTAAACAGTTCTGTGTTCTGTCATCCAACAAAAATACTCTAAATCAGTGCTGCAATGATATGGCAACCAGTGTCCAAAAAGAAAAGAAAATTAAAGCAAATGTAAACATGACCGTTATGCCTAAATTCCTCTGCTTTTGATCACAGGAGCTGGAAGATTTGAACAAGTGGGGGCTGAACATCTTCAATGTGGCTGGATACTCACACAACCGGCCTCTCACGTGCATCATGTATGCCATTTTCCAGGTGAGCCAACGGGCCAAGCCGGTGACCCCGGTGGGCAGCTCCTTTTTCCTCCATGCCAGCTCGGTTTTGTAACTTTGCCTCTTGAACACCTGCTTACTCTGACCCTAATCCATCACACTACTCAGGAAAGAGACCTCTTAAAGACGTTCAAAATCTCCTCTGACACCTTCATCACCTACATGATGACCTTGGAGGACCATTACCACTCGGACGTGGCCTACCACAACAGCCTGCACGCCGCCGACGTGGCCCAGTCCACCCACGTTCTCCTCTCCACGCCAGCCCTGGACGTGAGTGCTCTCACTCTGTCTCCCTCCCTGCTCATCCTCTTTTAAAGATCAGTGCATGTCCCAGTATTCGATTCGTCATTCACTATGGGTAGTACCCATCAGTTTTGTTATTTATGAAAAGACAGTAACATGTCTCCTTCCTTCACTTTCTAATACCAGAATAATCCTTCCTTTGTGTCTTTTCTAATTGAAAAATTACTTAATTATTAATTAGCAGTATCTGTGCCTTACTCTTCCCTGTGTTCTGAGTAAGGAATACAAATGTCTTGATTAGTGTCTGTACACTACATGCATGAACTCTGTGAGTTCCCCATCAGCATCCCAGATCCCCTGGGCAACCTCACAGGCATATAACATAGAAGACTTTGCCCTGCTCCTGTTAGGAGTACACATCCCTAGGCTTACTTTGCTTGGAACTTGGCAGGCAGATTTCTTAGGTGAAAGGAAAAGTAACCGAAACCCTAGAGCAGAATCCATAGTGTTACAAGGAACAGCAGTGTGCCATGGAGCCTCAGTCAAGACCTGAGGAGGTAGCTGTGACCCCTTCCATTTCAGATTGATGCTCTGTTAGGGACCAGTGTCCTGGGCAGTGTGTCTAGCCGTGCTCTCACTGGCAGGCGGCAGTGGGGGCCAGGTAATTCCCATATGTGCTGGCCCACTGCAGGGGGGCCAGCCTGGTCCTATGCTGGCACCCAGGCAAGCTCAATTCAGGAGGTGAAGAACAATTGATTTTAAACTCTGCACAGTTCTGTGGCTTGGCTTCCCTGAATTCTGAGAGAAATCTAGGAGAAACTGGGGGAATGAGAAGAGCTAAGGATGCTTGATCCTCTGAAGGAAAGAAACAGGATTGTTTTCGTTCTCTTTATGAGTTCCATGCATGTGAACAACACTATTTACCACATCTGGTGTTATTGATGACTGTGGTATGGCCAGAAATTGGCCATGAGTGTCATTAACTTTTAGACAAAGGATACAGTAATGTGTGCTAGAGTCATGAAAATGGGCTTTCTGGAAGAGGTAGTTGGCATTTGAAGGACCCGAGGATGAGGAAAAAAATTTCTGCCCTAGAATCAGCTGCAATTTGTCGCTAATAAATACTAGATTTCAATCACTCTGCCTAGAGTGGGGGCCAGAAGCCTTCATGATGGAGCCTCAAAGAGTTAGAAAATGTTCTGAAACCCTGCCTGTAGCAACCCTTGTGGATGTGTGCTGGATGAATGAATGAATGAATGAATGAACGGAAACTGTGACCATACTCTAAATTTAGCTTCGGGAAATGATTGATAGCTTCTGTTCCAAGTCTGGAACTTAGCTTTTTTTCTCTGAGTTGCTCAACCAGAATAGGAAGGTTGCCGTACATATCTCAGAGCAGAGCCAGTCTGACAAGCTCCTCTGACTTGTGTGTGCTCGTGTTACATAATCACCATGCTGCCACAACACTGGTCCAAGGAACAAACACCAGGTGTTCTCACACACGCACATGCACACACATGCACACACACACACATGCACACATGCACACGTGCACACACCGAGAGCATTGTGCTACTGACTTTCCAAACCTCAGACTGATGTAGCCACAAGCTCTAGATGTCATCCCTTTCACATCAGAGACTTTATGGCGATAAGTGAATCCATGCTCAATTAGATTATCCACCGAGCTATATGCAACTCATCAACCCCTCCCCTGACAACAATGAAACGGGCTCCTTTCTGATGGAGGACCCAGCTGGACAGGCCCTGGGATGCAGGCTTCAGTGGGCTCCTCTTGCTCTGCAGGCTGTCTTCACGGATCTGGAAATCTTGGCCGCCATCTTTGCAGCTGCCATCCATGATGTGGATCACCCTGGAGTCTCCAATCAGTTCCTCATCAACACAAGTGAGTTCACCACCAGAACATTCACGTGGATAATTGTATGACTCACTGCATTTTTTTTCCTCCTAATGTTTTCATTGTGGATAATAACAAGGGCAATAATGAGGTCATCCTTCTATTCCACTGAAACTGTTCAGGCCTTTCCTGGATGTGGTGTCCAGTCTGGCAAGGCAATGTTTGAGCTGCATGGAGACCTTGAAGAGGGCCAGTAGGAAACCATGAAAAGTACTCAAAGTTTGGCAAATGGGACATGGAAGGGAGGAATAACAGATTTGGAATTGTGTAGTGAGGCAAGGAGCCAGTCTTGGCAATAACGTGCCAATGACTTTGGGTTTTACACAGGGCTCTTTCACACCACACAGGGCTCTGCTGGTGTCTCTGTCTCTGCTGGGGAAGCAGCCACAGGTGCTGGACTTCAGCAAGGGAACCTTTGAACATCAATAAGGTCCCCCAACATGCAGTGGAACGGGATTCCTCCAGTGCAGGAGCTAAAACCATGGAAGGTTCCACACATTCTCTCCCAACAGCGTGGGTTTGTTGTGGACTGGCCTGGCAGGAAGATGACCTAGCAGCCCCCAGGAATGGGGTAGCCCTCAGCCACCAAGCCATCCTCAGAGATTTGTCTTGCTCACGTTTGATTTTCTTACTAAGAAAATGCACTGTCATTGTGTACGTGGGGAAAATCTCCGTACTTCTCCCCCTGAGAAGAGCAGCTGTACTGTGTGGTCGTGATTGACACCAAGTGCTGACAGTTGCATTGGAATGATGTTTGCTGTAGGAAAGAACCTTTGTTGTCAGCCCTGGTCCTTTATCATCAGAATGTGAGTCATTTAAATTGAGAGTGCACTGTTTTAAAGAATATCGTTCTTCTATTGAAAGAACACAGTTTGGGCAGCCATTGGCCTGTGTGGGTTACATCAACTGACTTAACGTGCTGCCAAGGATGAACCCAGGCTGATCAATTAGCTTCCTTCAGGAAAGGAATATTTCTGCTACAGACATAAACATATAAAGCCTACTTGTATGCCCATGGTTATGCAAACTGCAGAGAGTGAGCAGAATAGAGTCCTCGATAGCTCCCAAGAGCCTACCACCCTTTCTGAGGGCCATAACTCCAAGCACCCTCTTACAGGAATGCTACACAGATGACACCTCTTAAGCTAAGAGCACATTGCCATACTTAACTGTCATCTTGATTAAAAGAAAATGTGATTGTGTGGATTTGATGGCTGTATTTCCAAGCACTGTCATGGTGCTTGGTGATGGTGTCAAGGTACCTACGGGTACCTGCCTATCACAATTTCTGGCATAGAGAAATAAAAGACAAGAAGTTCAGTGTCAGGATTGTCAAAAAATTATGAGTATCCAGTTGTCATATTTATAGAAAGTTTCAAAAAGCTACATTATTTAAATAAAGCAAAAATTTACTCAAAGTTGTTATCCTCTTTGAAAATCAGAAGCTTACAATGACCAAATTTGAGGGAGCGTAGATAAAAGTGAACTCAGTTTGAAAATCTTAATGTACAAGATAAAGTTCAGTTGTATTTTGGTTTCATTCTTTTCTGAAGCACAAAATGTATGAAGACATGAGGGTAATTATAAGCTGAGATAAAAATATGATTTAGTTGCTTGCGGGTGGTTTTACATACTTTCAGTTTCTTCCCACATTGTAAAACCAGAGAAAGGTCTGTGAGAGGCAAAATTCTTCTAGCCGAAGAGAAAGCAGAAGCCTCAGTATCTGCTAGAAGCATTTTTGTGTTTTGCTTACAAACTATTTCTACCAAGAGGCAGACCCTATGGCCGGAGCCCCTTGTACAGAGCTAGATTTGATTGTACACCAAGGTAACGCCAGTGTTTGAGGCCCATGGTTCTTGCTCTGTCTTTTCTGAAGTTGCCATGTTTTCTCGTTTATTAGATTCAGAACTTGCTTTGATGTACAATGATGAATCTGTGCTGGAAAACCATCACCTTGCTGTGGGTTTCAAGCTGCTGCAAGAGGAACACTGTGACATCTTCCAGAATCTCACCAAGAAGCAGCGTCAGACGCTCAGGAAGATGGTGATTGACATGGTGAGACCCCAGCCTCACCGCCCTGCATGCCCCACATCTGTCATGCTTTCCTAGAGGCTGGATTTACCAAAAAGCTCTCATTTTTGTTATTTTCCCAAGGTGTTAGCAACTGATATGTCCAAACATATGAGCCTGCTGGCAGACCTGAAAACCATGGTGGAAACGAAGAAAGTCGCAAGTTCAGGAGTTCTCCTCCTGGACAACTACACAGATCGCATTCAGGTATTTAACCAAACATTGCGTCACCATAGCACAAACCAAGTGACATTTTGAAAAGCGCAAATTCAGTTAGTTGCGTGTCCTAGGCTCCTGTAACAGCTTGGGGCTTATTTTAAGAACAAACTTAGGGCAATGGACATGTGAGCTTCTCTAATTGGTGAGAAAAAACATAGCTATTTATTGAATTGTTTAGTTCCAAACTTAAATTGCAAAAGCTACTCCTAGTGGGGCATACATGATGTTGGCCCCGCACTGATGTTTGAGCACCTATCCCTCCAATTTGAAGTTTGCAAGGTCTGTTTTGGTTCTACAAATTGCCATCACCTGGTGTTTCCTTCCTGTAAATGGAGACCAAGAAGCCAGCTACTTTTAGTAATTCCTTGCATTCTTTCCAAACGGAGGAAAGGCAATGATAGCAGCATTTAACCTCCGACATTCCCTCTAGTATTTAAATTCCAAGGCTGTCAGTCTACCAAGGTGCGTACTCCCTGAGGGGACCTTGAATGGTAAATGGCCAGAGTCTCTAAACCGCTATAAATCTGCCCCATGGGATATGTGTGTCGTAATTAACTGGCAACTAAAAAGTCCCTGAGTTTTGCGCTGGACTATAAGAGGGACAGGATGTTCTGGTAGTGTTTACACTTGATCTTTACGGGCTTTCCAAAACTTGACGACTCCAGGTCCTTCGCAACATGGTACACTGTGCGGACCTGAGCAACCCCACCAAGTCCTTGGAACTGTATCGGCAGTGGACGGACCGCATCATGGAGGAGTTTTTCCAGCAAGGAGACAAAGAACGGGAGAGAGGAATGGAGATCAGCCCCATGTGTGATAAACACACTGCTTCTGTGGAAAAGTCCCAGGTACTGTGTCCAAAGTGTGATTTATCAGGGTTCCAGTGAGCACTCCTGACTGTGGAACTGGGGTGCTTGGTCTGGTTCCTCTAACAGTGTGTACGTGTGTGGATGAGTCGGTTAAGGAGCAACTGCGGGTTAAGTCTGTGAGGTGTGGGCCTCCGCTGCCCCATCCACTGTGCTCAGCCTCGTGGGGTGGGGATTAGGCGGTCATCACAAAGCATCAGTGTTTGGACTGTGGGTCTGTGCTCTGTTTAGATAATCAGCCCTGACTCAGCAGTCAGCCGGTGTTGGAGCACTGCCGTCTCCTCCTTCCCTTTCACCCAGCTCTGTGCTCACCCGGATCGCAGCCCCTCACCCTTGTCCCGAGCACTCCTCTGTGGCCCTCTGGCCATCACCAGGTATCCTGCCACCACCCCCAGAGGTACTGCAAGCCCTGTCACTGAGCCCTTCCGAGGGGAACATCCTGTACCTGGTGTTTACTGCTTATGTCCAAATTCTGTGTGTTTCTGAAGACAAGAGAAACCGTTCTAAGGCTGCAGCAAAGCCCCAGACACCAGCTGCTGCAGGGTATGAACCAGCTGGAGGTATCCTTGCCGCTGCCTCTGCACAGGCCTTAGTGCTCACTGAAAGGGTATTTTTTAGGACACTGAATAGTCCAAACCACAGGTGATGTGACTGAATACAGACATCTGTCCAGTCTTTAACTCAAAACACTTGGGAGCTTTTTGTTTCCTTGTGTCTAGCCTCATTCCCCAAATACCTGCAAACCCCAAATTTGCATATATTTGTACTATCAATGTATAGTTCCCTCAAAATTCATTTTTGTTGCTTCTTAAAATCTGAGTGTAGCATCCATGAAAATTATCTAAAGCCTCATGCTATAACAATGTAAGATAACATTAAATTAATCAGGGCCGATGGCAGTACCATATGGGGTTTAAGTGGGCCCCGGTATGAGTGAAGAGAGCGTCTTTGCTCAGTAGCAGCAATGCTTCGTTTGCACAGTGCTCGTCATGGCTTTCTGTGCACTGTCGCGCGAGATGAAGAAAACAGGGGTTTGGCCAGGGTCCAGGAAAGACACGGTCCTCTAGGTCCTGCTCAGCAGCTGCTGTGTTACCCAGCTGCCTTCTCCCCAAAGATCTCCCCGCTCAGTTGTGATGGACAGGCGGCCCGTGACAGCACTGCCCAGTCCAGGGTTCCCGCAGATGGACTCTGCTGAGCTGGCTCTGATTTATCTGCCCACAGAGCTCTGGATTAGGTGTTGTTAGGATTTGCAGGGTTCTCTCAGCCAGGACCTAGGAAGTAAGTGGGGTGACCCTTCCAAAAATTCCCGAGCATTTCTCAGCAGAAGCAAAATGAAGAAAGGAAAGGACTGTGCCGTGTCCAGCTGGCTCAGTCTTCTCTTCGCCTTGGGATCATTTCTGATTCCTAGAAAACACCTTGAAAATCGTCCCCAAACACATTAAACACACATAAAGGAATGAACAAGAGAGAAAAGGAGGGGGGCAGACACAAGAGAAATATCTGAATCATTCCACAGTTAACTTCTGATAGCCAGTGTAGATCAGAGATGCCCCAGCTTCAGGGCAAGAGAAAAATCAATCTCAGTCTCTCTCTGTCCCTCTTTTCTCTCCCTCCCTTGCCCTCCCTTCACCACCCCTCTCCTCCCTTCTCCTCCCTTCCTCTTCTCTTTTTTCTCACTCACACATTTAAGTACATAGTTTTACATAAAGTTGTCACATATGACCAAAGTGTTGACCGGAGCACAATATGGCAGTATTAAATGACTGGTTAAATATCAAAATGTCAAATAGAGGAAATTTTCCAGGGGAATGGAAAGATAGCTCTCTGAGGTCTAGTGTCCCGTGGGGGCCTTGCCCATGTGCCCTGAGTCCCACCCAGCCCAGCTTCTCTCAGCCCAAGACCCAGACCGGGGAATTCCACTCCCCCTGTCTACCTGCCCCTCGCAGCACTGGTTTCCTGTTTGTCCGACAATGGGGGTCAGCAGGAGGCCACACCAGGATACACACAGCAGCCCCTGTCAACCGTGACAAAGCCATGTGCCTCGGGCTTATTCCCTGAAACCCCAGCGAAAGGAACCGCTTCATTGTTTTTATTTTCCTCCTTCGGATGGAAATGACTGTGGCCCGGTGGATGCTGAGCAATCGCTGGCCTGTCCACAGAGGGGATATCTGTTTGTTTAGGGCTTGAATTCTTTTCGAGTGTCTTATCCAATTTCTCTACAGCGGCGAGCATCGCCCAGAATGTGCGATTCCAGAGTGGACCGGGTCCAGCTCTGGCCACTTTGTCACAATGGCATATTTTAAAGTCATCAGGGAAAGAATGTTGACTCAGTTTAGACCTGGGGCTTCCTTGTTCAGAGAGTGACTCACACAATCTGAGGCTGACGAAGTCACTCCCAGACTTCTTATCTGGCACAGATAGAAGGAAAGGCAGTGTGCGGTTAGCAAGGGGACGCGGGCTCAGGAATCAGACACATTAGTTCTGTGACTTCTGCAAGAAATTTCACCTCAGTCAGGAGCAGGGGCTCATACCTCTCATGTCCTGCTCTAAGAGGCAGGAGAATCAAAAGTGTCAGGCCAGTCTGGACAACTTGGTGATTTAGCAAGGTCTCAATTAGTTAAAAGGACTAGAGATGTAGTTCAATGCTAAGGCCCTTAATTCAAATCCTAGGAATGCAAAAAGAGAGAAAGAAAGAAAAATAAATAAATAATCCAATGTAGCTTCAGTGAAATTCAGTTCCTGGAAGACAGCACTTAGTCTGGGGGATAAGAATCATGTTGTATATCATATCCAGTGCAGGGCTGATTACATAGTAAGTGCTCAGATAAATAAATCGTTTAGTATTGATTGCTGGGTGCTGTGACTTCTCCTAGCATGCAAACCGCCACCACTGGCGGCTTGGTCTTCATCGACCCATTGCAATAACAGAAAAATAATCTTGTTTTTCTCCAGGTTGGTTTCATCGACTACATCGTCCACCCATTGTGGGAGACCTGGGCCGACCTGGTCCAGCCAGATGCCCAGGACATTCTGGACACACTAGAGGACAATAGGAACTGGTACCAGAGCATGATTCCCCAGAGCCCCTCTCCGCCACTGGAAGAGAGGAGCCGGGACTGCCAGGGCCTGATGGAGAAGTTTCAATTCGAACTGACCTTGGAGGAGGAGGACTCAGAAGGACGCGAGAAGGACGGGGAGGGCCACGGCTACTTCAGCAGCACCAAGACGCTTTGTGTGATCGATCCAGAAAGTGAGGATCCGCTGGGCGAGAGCGATGTGGACACCGCGACAGAGGACAAGTCCCCAACTGACACCTAATCTCCCTCCCCGGGGGGAAGGACACCCCACCCTTGAGGAGCATGCAAGCTGTGGGTAGGACCTGCCCACCATGGGACGAGGCCTGCATGGGACAGAGGCCACTGGCCTTTCCGGTCACTGAAGTTTGGGGCCAGAACGCAAGGCCGAGGAGCAAACAGCAGCTCAGGAAACCCGCGGTTGACTGACTGGGTGACTTGCCCGGCCTGTGAGCTCGGCAGGGAGCTGAGGGTTGGTTCTGTGTAGCACAGGGCAGTTCCGGTCACAACCAAAAAGCTTGAACACGGAAGACACAAAACTGAGAGATTTCTCTGCACTAAAGTCTCGGGCGCTGCCCGACTGGTGGCTGAACTCACTGACTAATACCTTCATGGATAAATCTGCTCACTGTCCCCTTGTCTGCCGACCTGTGTGCCTTTTTTGTAAAACATTTTCATGTCTTGAAAATGCTTGTTGAAACACCTAGCATTTAGTACCAACTTCTACACTGATAAGCATTCAAAGTCAATAGACACTTTTTTTTTTACTCTTTCTGGGAGAGAAAAAAGAAAAGAAAGAAAAATAGTCTTCCTTCTTTCTTGGGCAATATCTTTCGCTTTCCTACCATTAACTTTTGCAAACAGACAAAGACACACACTTTGAACCACATTCTACTTCCCCGTTTGTCCCATCTGGCTCACGGTGGCCCTGGTGACTTAGCTCTGTTTGTTTGCTTCAAACAGTTCTTTGCCTCTCGAGGTCTCACTGTTTGTGCTAGGAAGAGGAAAAAAAAGTGAAACACACTGGGGCAGGACGAGGCCCTTGTGTAGCCTCAGACAGGCACAGCGACCTCTCTGTTCAGGCCTGACCCCAAGAGTCGCGGACCCGACCTCTCCCTCTCCCCACTCCCAGCCGTTTCCGGGGGATCTGCCCCTTTTTTTCTTGCACTGCCTCTCACGCTAACACCTCCATTCCCATTGATAACCGTGTATTTATTACTTAATGTATATACTGTAATGTTTTGTAAGTTATTAATTTATATATCTAACATTGCCTGCCAATGGTGGTGTTAAATTTGTGTAAAGACTCTGCCTAAGAGTTGCGACCTTTTCTTGGAATGTTTTGTATTGTGTATTATATAACCCAGGCATCGCTTCAGAGAGATGTACGGCCCCTCCCTGGGCAGTCAGGACAAGGAAGGGGCCAGGGACCCCAGACCTGGCCCTTTCCCTGCCTGAGTTGCTCCAACCCTTTATGAACCAGTTTTGCGAACAGGATTCTCACATTAGATACAAAATGGTTTATACTGAGCTTTTACTTTTGTATAGTTTGATAGGGGTAGGGGCAAAGGGCCACAGTTTTTAGCCTTGTTTTATCTAAATCTGTGTACACAGGAGTTGGGTTATAACTGGGTTCTACTCTAATTAGGAGTTCGGTTCCAAAAAGCAACACTACATTTGCTCACAAAAGATTCTTCCGGTTGTCCCCAAACTACTGACTTCCGCAGAGCTAGCCTCCTGCCTGCTATCCCGCGGGAATGTCGCGTTCCCATTCACTATGGAAGAAAATAATAAAAACAATGTGAATTTTCATAATAAAATGTGAACTGATATAGTAAATTATGCAAATGTGAAGCTTCTTCTGCTAACTCCTGTTAGGTCTTTTCCTGGTGTTGTTTCAGTTTGTAAAATAAGTTCCATGCTTCGGTTCAGCGTTGTGACGCAGTAGCTACAGAAATGGCACAAGCACGCATGGCCAGCGGGTCGTCTGTCTGTCCGTCAGCACTACACTGTTCCAGGTGGACATCCTATTGTTTCCCAGAGTTTCTCGCCATGTATGTTACAGTACTATTGTTATATATTGTGCAAATGCATTCTTAAGAGGCTTTTATATGAGGTGAATAAATGGAGCATGATTAGATTAGCCTGCAGGCCCAGTCATTTGGCGTCCAGTTCTGGCATACGAAAGCAGACTTTCTTTCTCCGTTCCCCTGTTGCCCCCACCAAGAAAATGAAACTGTGCCCAGCTGAGGTTGCAGAATCTTCCCAACGCGTCCGGTCGCTTGGAGCATTTCTCTTTTCTCTTAGCACTGCTTACACCTGCTCAGTGGTGCCAGGAGAAAAAGCAGTGAACCAAAACCATTTTGCTCACCTCGCAACGTCGTCTAGCTCTTTAAGGGTGGGAAGAGGCTCACTACCAGAGAAATGAAGGGCACCCTCGTCTTGGCTGGGAGTCCTAGGAACATGAACCAGTGTCCCCGCATGTTCGGGCTGTTGGAGGTCCACAGACCCACTGGACACACAAAGACTGCAGTCCACAGGGCAGGGAGGAGGCCCTTGCTCCTCACAGTGATTGGTGGGGTCTTTTGCTGATATGAGGCTTACACTGTTCTTCCTGGAAAGAACTGTGTAAGTACTATAAATAAAATACTTAAATATTTTGTTGAGATATTCAAACCATCAATTACAAAAAAAAGTTATCGTTAGAAATGCTTTGTGTGTGTGTGTGTGTGTGTGTGTGTGTGTGCATGCGTGCGCGTGCGTGTGTGCGTGTGTGTGTCTGCCTGTGCGTGTGTGAGGGGGGCAGAGAAGGTCCCAAATGAGAATTAGTGAGTGGTTCCGGGAAGTGATCTGTGAAGCAGCAAAGGTCTCTATTACCGGAATTCCATCAGTGTGCACAGAAATTGCTGTTTCTCTGGGAAGACAAGCGGCAGGGAGCCAGCGCTGCAGGAACAGCCGTCCCTTGGTCACAGAGGTGACTCCCCTAGGATTTTCCACCATCCCCAGTTTTTGATAGGAGCTCACCATCTCTGAGCTTTCCTGCTTGGTGAAAGTGAGTGTGTTGTCAGAGCTATAAACCTGACTTTCATCAGCACTGCAGCTATATGTATTTATAAGTATTTGCACGGGTGCTTTCTCCTGAGAAGGGGTTTTTAACCTTTGCTGCAAAGGAGAATCAAGTGAAAAATTAGCATTTTTAAAAAACACTGTTGTTTTGTCCCGTTCTCCTCCCCAGATTTCTGACTGGAGGCCTTGGATAGAGCCTTGGGCATTAGATTTTAAGAACAGTCACAGGTAATTGTCACATGCAATTGCAGCCAAGAACCACTGCTTCTGAACCAAAGCCATGTGCTTTCTTTCCCCAGCAGTCTTCAGGCTATCATCTTGTGCCCTGTGTTGGCGAGCTCCATATAACTATCTTGCATAGCATGTTGGATTCTTTCTTATTTTATCTTTCTCATTTAGTTCTCACCTCACCTCCAGGTAAAATGGGACCCACAGTTTCACCAGTTTCCTAGGTAGAAGTCTGAGAAAGGCCAGAACTCAGGCATCTAAACCAACTGTGTTGCCTGGGGTCAGGGGCCCCATTGTTTCTTTCATTCCCTGCTCCTAGTGTCATACTTGGGACAGTTGACACTCACATGTGTGTTGATAAATCTGAATGCTGGTGACAGCGTAGCCACAACTAACAGGAAGACGAGAGCAATCTGTACCCTGGGAGATTCCACTCGTAGCTTTTCTCCCTCTATCTCCAGATTGCTCTCCCTACGCAACCCTGACGCCCTCCCAGAGTGAAAACAATGGTTTGCATTTGTTCTAACTTTTGTGTCTCTCACTAGCAAGCACTCTGCGGTAGCTAAGTGGAAGTGTACTACCCTGCAATGCCAGCCAGTGGATGGCTCCAGAAGACAGGCAGAAACCCTCTTCATTGAAATTGCTTGTGAAATGCGTCCACCTGCGTAGTTTTCTTGGAAAAGGAGTAGAAGTCACGGGACCGAGGAAAATGTGGCTGACAGACCGATGTTCCAGGCTTTTCCTAACTCTTTCTAAGCCATGGGATATGAGAAAATCACTTAAGTTTTTGAGTGGAAACTTTTTTCATCAGTAAGCGAACTAACAATAGAGAGCTGGATACAAAATCAGCTACAGGATTACGTACAATAGGTAGTGGCTAAACCTTTGCTGTCCAGATGCATGTATTCAAGAGTAGAGGGATTTGTGAATATTAAATAATTTTGAAAAATTGCCTTCTGACTTTGAAAAAGAATTCTTCAGCAACACATTTTGATGTAGTGTTCTTGAAATTAAGTTCTAGCTGACAGAGATTTTTCTACATGTATCTCAACATTCCAGAAGGTAAATACTTGCCTACCCATCTGCCAGTAGATGACTATGTTGATAATGATTAGCTCGTGGAATTGGGAGGAGACCTGGAAACATATTGACTGCCCTCTTTCCATGCTATGGAAACCCACTGAAAACATGTGTGATTGAAAACATCCAGAGAGAGAAGGCAATAGTACCATTTGAAATAATGCCAACTGTTAGATGTTTACAATGGAATCAAATTGCATTCCCTTAGAGTAATTTCTCTGGTTTATTCTTTTTTATCTGTAGCCTAATAATATATATAATTCCTCAGGTAATTTCTTGTTCCCACTGAATATAAGAGCCGAACTTTCATAGATTTTGACTGTGACCTTGGGAAAGGACATATGATCTCTGTGGTCCTCAGCTCTCACTTCTGTGAAATAGAGGTAGCAATAATGCATTTACATCCTAAGATTATCACAGAAATCAAACAAAGTAATGCTGTGAAATAGTGACACTAGGGCCTAGTCTGGAGTATGCATTAGCAAATGTTTACAAATACACAACTAGAAATAGCATATTTTGTACAAGGACTGGCCAAAATACAGTGTGTGTTTGAATTTTTCTAAAAACAAAATATTATGGTGAAAGACACATTGTCAAAAATTGCCCTCATAATTCTCCTGCTTTGAACACACTTATCCCGTCCTTCTTGCTGCTTTCTGAAGCAGCTCTGGAGCCCTCTTTCCTGGGGGTTTTTAGTTGAGTTGCCCTGGCTGCCTTGATGTCCTGAATCCACTCAAAACCTTTACAGCAATTCCTGTCTAGCATTACGGAGTGACCACATCCACCATATACATAGGATGGAACATCACAGGGGTCTGATTCTTCTCCAGAGTCAACATAATCCTGCGAGTACCCATTTTGAATGGATTCAGAACATTGAGGCTGCTACAACAGCACTACTGAAGACCTTCACGAAAGGGGACTTCCACAGCTGTTTCCTCAAATGGCAAAAAAGATAGGACAAGCATGTTTGACCAAAGTGGAGTATTTTGAGGAGGACTAGTGGCAACAGATTTTTTTACTAAAATTAATTTTTTTAAAAAAAAAACTCATTTTCATATTTCATGATCACACCTTCTATATTATAGTTTCTTCAGCCACTTTTAACATAAGCACACAGATCCAGTTATCCAGAGCTTGTTAAACTGTTAATGGTAGGATCAGTGACTCCAAATCAAGCATGATCGTTCAGTCATTTTAGGGCACAGTCTGATCCTTGCCTTCTCTTGTTCCGAGCATGGGTCCACATTCCAAGATGCTATTCCTTAGAGGGCACTCACTGCCTCACCTGGACGAGGCATAGGATGCTTACAGACAAACAAGGCCTTCCACAGGACCACTGGTCTCCTCCATTCTTGAATCTTAAAGCAGAATGATCCTTTCCTGTAACATTTTATGTGAAAGGAGACAGTAGAGTATCGGGTGTCAGCCTGACCTGTTGGTAAATTCCATCTCCAGCAAGTGCTTGCTTGGTTTCCTTTTCTGAAAAAGGAGAAAAGAGATCCATAGCCAAAGGTTATTTAGGAAGACAGAGCTAACTTATGCACAAGGCCTGGCTCATTGCAAGCATACAGAAAATGAGACTTATTAGTAATACTGATACCCACTAAGATGACTAAATGACATAATTTAAATGCTCATATCATTGGTTGTTAGTATTGGTTGTTAGTATTTTTGACCTAAAATATTTTCCTGATAGCTCATTGACTACCTCCCCTCCAGCATCTATGTTCTACATCTTTGATAGTGATGTGTTTTATATTTCAATTTTCCTTGTTAAGTACAGGAAAGGGTGGACAATTAACACTGACCCTCTTGTCACTGTTCCACAGTTAATAGCATTGAGTCAAGCATAAATTCAACTATGTGCACAATCATCCAGAGCAATGTAGATATGTTTTAAGTCAACAAAAATGTGTTCAAACTTTTTATAAACAAAGCAAAAATGTGTTAAACAAAAAATTTTCCGTTCTTGATAGAATTTATTAATCCTAACATGCTAACTCTGGTTGCATGATCTGTCCTTGGAGAACATATGCTAATAGTCTATAACTGCTCACACAATTGATATGATGCTTGACAATCTATAGTGCCAGAGTGTTTCTTTCAAAAGAGGGGAATAACATTTGCCTATCACACATTCCTAGAAATGTGACCAATTTTGTATTCTTTCTAATTTCTGAAAAAATAATCCACTGTGAGCCAACAACACTTGGGAAAGTCCTTTTGATATCTCAGGAAATCATGTGCCTACAGACATGAAGCCACATAAAGAGCAGAGATGCTATCGAAACACTTTTTTGCTTTTCTTGGCCAGTCCCACAGATGAGCATGGTACTTACCCACTGTTAGATAAGGGCTTATCTCCTTCTAACTGAAGGAAACTGTCCTCTCCCACCAAATCTACAGTTTCAGATATGATGCTTGCGAAGTGATAAAGGGAGACCTGTGAGCCAATTTACTACTTCTTATCAGTACTTTACCACATACCATGGGATAAATCAATCAATAATTATATCTGCAGGAGTGGGAGGGGAGTAAGCCCTCTCTTGCCCATCATAAAAGGTCATAACCAACATGCTTAGAACAAAAGATAAGTTTACATGACACAGGAGCCTTCAGATTAGAGATCCAAAGATTCAGGGCAGACTATTCGGTTTTGATGCTTAGTTTTGAGGAAACATGGACAGCTGTATAGAAATATGATTGAACAGAAAAGGCTATGATTTAGTAGAAATAGACTGAGAAGAAAACTAAGCAGGGTCT